CCTACTTGGAATCAGCTGGAACTAGGGCCTTCCCAATTCTGATTAGACTATATATATAACACTGGCAATCCAAGTGGGATCGGCTATACCTGGCATCTTCTGCATTCCAATTTGATTTTTGTTGATAGTTACATTTGAATCGACTATGATTGGAAACAGCTGGAGCTAGTTGCGCCCAAATCCACTTGCATACTAAGCATCTACATCTCATTTGAACCGGCTGGATCTGGGATCTGTTCCATTTGAATTCGAATCTATGTCGATTTCCATCGGAATCCAATTCGGGTCAGCTTGATCTGGGAAATGCTCCATTTTCAATTGGATGTTTGTTCGGTTCCAATAGGAGACACATCATAATAAACTAGATCTGGGGTCTGCTCCTTTCCGACTACATGTTGATAGGACTCTAATTGAAATCAGCTGGACTTGGGATTTGTTGCATTCCGATTCGATTCTAATTCGATCCCAGTAGGAATCCAAGGGGAATCAGCGTGATTGTAGTCTCCAAGTGCAGTCCCGTCGGAGTCCAATCTGCAGCAGCTGGATCTGTGCTCTTCTCAATTCTAGTTAGATTCTGTCACGTCGTAAGAAGAATCTTGCTGGAATCAGCTGCATATGGGATTCGAGTCGCTCCAGGTATATGTCCAACTGCATTCCAACAGGAATTTAATTCAAGTCAGCTGGATCTGGAATCTGTTCAATTCCAAGTGCATTCTCGTCGGCTGAGGGGAGCATCCCGGGCACCCAAAGACATTTCAGGCGCCGCGCAAGGTTCGCGACGCCAAGGGTGTCCAAACCTTACTGCCCTTCGATGCCAGAGTATCGTCAAACCCTTTGATTCCATTGGGATTCTTGGGATGTCTGGGATGCAAATCCGCGACACATTGGTTCTTCAATGGGATTCATGGGATTCGTGGGATTTCAAGACCTGGAACAAAACCAATCTGGGGATCCCATGGAGGTGCAGAGCTCAGAATCCCAGGAGTCCCAATGAAATCACAGGGTTCGCGACGTCGGTGATGTGCAAACCTTGCGATTTCATTAGGGTTCCTGGGATTTCTGGGATGCAAGTCCACCACGCACTGGTTTTCCATTTGATCCCCGGTGTTTCTGGGATTTCAAGTCTTGGAGAAAAGCCAACCTTGGGATCCCCAGTAGGTCCAGGGCGTAGAACCCTAGGAATCCCAGTGAAATCACAGGGGTCGTGACGTCGGTGATGCGCAAAGCCTATGATTTCATTGGGGTTCCTGGGAGGTTTGGGATGCGAATCCACCACGCACTGGTTTTTCAACGGGATTCCCAGGATTCCTGGGATTTCAGTCTTGGACTTTCGGGGACCCCAGGGCTCGTACTTTGGTTTTGCTCCAAGGCTGAACATCCCAGTGAAAAACCACTGTGTCGTGGAATTGCATCCCAGAAATCCAAGGAATCCAATTGAAATCACAGAAACCCATGTATTACATGTTGATTGTTTCGTCCTGTGGGGCCCCTCTCTCTTGTGCATGCGCCGCGATGCCGCCTCGCCGAAGGCTTTTTGTCTTGGAAGCCTGAGGTCAGGGGGAGACCTCAGGCGCAGGGGCGCCGCCTGCCGCGAGCGCGGCGCCTCGGCCATGTGATGGCGGCGCCCGCCGCGAGCGACGCCGTGGGCGGCTTCGCTGCGCTGCCCGCGGGCGCCGCGGCCGCGCTGCCCGCGCCCCCAGGAGGCCGCGGAGGCAGCCGCGGTCGCGGCGGCAGCGGAGGCGGGCGAGGCGCTGCAGGAGCCCGCGGAGGTCGCGCGGCTGCTGCACGCGGGGCTGCTGGGAGCAGGCGAGCGCGCGCGGCTGCCGCTGCTGAAGGCGCTCGAGGTCGCGGAGGCGTCGCGGCTAGGCCCCGCCGAGGTGGACGCGGCGCAGCCGTCGCAGCCGCCGCGAGCGGAGTCGCCGGAGGAGGCGCTGCAGCCCCTGTCGCCGAAGGCTCACCAGGTGGAGGAGCTGCTGGCGCGGGCGTGCTGGCTGGAGGTGCTCCTGGAGTACTGGCTGGTGGCTGCGGCGGACCGCCCGCGGGAGTCGGAGCGGCTGCAGGCGCTGCGGCGGCTGGAGGCGGAGGTCCGCCTGAGGCGGCTGGAGCTGCCTGTGGAGGAGGCCCACTGGGCGGGCTCGTGCCTCCCCCTCTGGCGGATGGTGCGGCTGCTGTGGTCGGTGGAGCTGGAGGCGTGGCAGGACCTCCCGCTGTCCCTGGACTAGGAGGTGGAGTGGTCGGAGTCGGAGGCCACGGCGGCGCTGGCGCTTGGGCCCCTGCTGCTGGCGGCGCTCTCGGCGGTGCAGCTGGAGGGGTGCCCGCAGGCGCAGGAGCAGCCCCAGGTGGTGGTGGCATGCTGGGCTGGGTGCCGGCTGCTAGAGGTGGAGTCGGAGCTCCTGGAGGCTGTGGCTTCGATCTGGCGGCGCCTCCTGGAGGTGCAGGGCCCTGGGTGCACGGCCCATCATCACCGATGGCTTACCAGCGGCTCGGGTTGTCACCTGGAGGCTTGCTGGAGTGCGTGACCCTGGACAGCTTCGGCAGCGCAGCTGGCACGGCGCTGTTCAACATCCAGAGTGTGTGGCCTGGTGATGGCATGGGTGTCTTCGTGGAGGCGTCGTTCCTGGGGTGCAGCAGCGCTGCCTCGTGGCCGATGCTGTCGGGGAGCTTCAATTACCTCGGTGGCGCGGTGCTGCACCTCTGTACTCAGCAGGCTAGCGTGTGCTCAGGGCTGGTGCAGTGGCCTCAGCGCTCGGTGTTGCACGTAGAGACCTACCGCATGCGGAGCCCCGAGGGAGTGACTGAGCCGTGGGCTCTGGCGCTGCTGGGAGGTCGCGGAGCAGCTGGGGGGCCCGCAGCCGTTGGCGTCCTTGGCGGACCTGTCGGAGGTGCCAGCGCGCCTGGAGCTGCTGCTGGAAGCACCATGGCTGGCGCGGAGCCCACCCCCGAGGAGCTGAAGAGGAAGGTGGCAGAGTTGCGCCTGCGGCTGCAGCGCAAGCGAGGGATAGGTGAGGCCCTTGCTGAGCGCGCTGAGCTGGCTCTTGGCGGTCGTCGTGTTGGTCGTCGTGAGAAGAGGCGGGGACGGCGCCTCGGTGATGACAGCAGCTCCGAGGGCTCAGTTTTTGATGGCGCCCCCCACGTCGACCCAGGCCGCAGGATAGCTCAGTTTGCCCAGGCCGCTCCAGGACCTCTCCCGTCGAGCGCTATGGATCAGATCAAGCGCTATCTTGCACGGCGTGATGGGGCGCACACCGAGAAGGGCCTGGGCGAACTGGCAGCGACGGTGGTGCAGTACATCGCGAGCGTCTGGCACGGTCACCACCCGCAGAGCGAGATGGGGGTGAGAAACGTGCGCGAGATGCGGACCGTCGGCGAGTGCCTCGACGCACTCCTCAGAGGAGAGTTGGATCACCTGGCCGACCTTGATGCAGAGGCTGAAGGCGATCGAGCAGGCGACCAAGGACGGCCACTGGCAGGTAGCTCAGCATCTCGAGCTGTGCGACGACCTGGGCCTGGGCTTGGCTCGCCAGGAGGAAGTGCACGACGCCGTGAGCAAGCACAAGAGGATGTTTGGCCTGGCCGAGAGCGTGGCGAAGGCCAAAAAGGGAGGTGGCACAGGATATGGGGTCAGGCCGAGAGGGCAGCGGACAGCCTCGGGCGCCGCCCTCTCGGAGGCCATCTCCAACCCCTGGCATCCTTTCTCCGAAGTCGAGTGCCAACAAGCCCAGCAGCATGGTGGAGCGCGTGAAGGCATCGCGAAAGGCGCGGTGGCGGAAGGAGCGGGGGCAGGCTGCCGCCGCGAAGAAGCAGGCCGCAGCGCCAGCAGTTCACGGAGGAGAGCATACGCAGCGGTCGGGCAGCCCTGCAGCCTCGCAGCCTCTCGCGCCTCGCGCCCCAGGGTCACCAGCCGCCGCCGCGTGCGGCGCCGTCGGCCCTGGCCCCGACCGTCGACCGATCCTGCGCCCACCTACTGGAGGGGAGGCGCGCCCAACGTCACCAGTGAGGTGCGTGCAGTTCGCCGATCAGGTCGAGCGAGGCGGGCGGCAGCAGTCGCCCGCGCCGAGGAGCCGCCCAGGATCACTTTCACCTCAGCGCAAGGGCGAGAAAGCGAAGACCAAGGGCTCGGGCAAGCCGGAGTCCAAGAAGGGTAAGGGCGGCAGCAAGTCAGGCAGGTGGCAGGGGCCCGGCTCCACGGGCAAGCCGAAGGGCAAGGGCAAAGGCAAACGGCGCGCCTAGCCCCCACAGACTTGATAGTAGTTCCGTCTGAGTCTGAGAAGAATGACATTCCACCCGATGATCAGGAGTCGGAGATCTTCTCCCAGAGGTCATCCAGTTTTGATTCTGGCTTATTGCATGACGCGGAGCACACTGCCGATTGTGACGCAAAGAATGTCTCCGACAATTCATCTTCTTTGTCGGGTGTGCTGCCTGGTTCGCCCGTTGAGAACTTCGGCGCCATCCTGCTGTCTCGGCTACTTGGTGCGCTACACCCTGACGCTGAACGTAAGTCCGCATTACATCGTTCGACGCCGCCTTCGCCTACGTTGGCTACCGCTTCTGGTGGTGCTGGGTTTGCCTCTGGTGCAGCCCACGGCGAGACAGGCAATTCTTCACATTTGGCTTCTTTACGTACATCCACTGGTGGTTCAGTCAATCAGTCATTTGGTTAAGCTGACGTTAGTCCCGAGCGCGATGATGATTCGCACCCGGCTTCATTACGTACTCCCTCGATGGCTTCGTTGATTTCCGACTGTGATGTAGTTTGTGGAGATCCGCTTCCATCGCCGAGCGGTCGGCGATAACGTCGTGATATATTCGCGCTCCCGATCGTGTTTCATAGTCTGGCTGCTCCTCAGTGTCGCGGAGACCTTCGAGAGGACAGTCAAGAGCTGGCAGTTGCGAAGTCCGAGGAGTTAGATTGGCTGCATTGTATCGTGTCTGGTCTCAACCTTCACTACCCTCGCAGTTGGGTCGATGCGCCTCGCGGCCCCCCGAGCGCCACCCAGCGCAAAGCCATCAATAATCTTCTCTATGAGGTCAGAGTCTTTCGTGAGCAATGCGCTGGCCTGAGCCCTGACATCGATTGGGACGCAGAGCTAACGTCCGCCGACACCTCCTACGACGGCGAGGTGGTGTTCCCTGCCGAGCCCCTGGGCCGTGACCTTCTACTCGAAGCTCTGCCTCCTCGAGAGGCGTGCGTGGCCGTGCGGGCCGTCGATGTGACAGAGGGCTGGATCAGAGCTGCCCTTTCCGACCCAGGTCTGATCCTGAAGGACGAGTCGGAGCTTGGCGGCTTGCCCCCCACTCCGAAGGTCTGGGCCTCGGACGAGGAGTGGGGGCCCATCGCTGGCGACCTGCTCGAGAGGGGGATTCTCAAGACGATAGAGTACGAGGACATCGTAGAGGTGCAAGGGCGCAAGGTCATGGGAGGCATGTTTGGCGCGAAGAAGGGATCCCACTTGAAGGGCGAGGGGCCCCAGCGGCTGGTGATGAATACGATCCCCTACAACTTCATTCAAAGCACTATCGAGGGCGACATGCCGATGCTGCCCCACAGCGACAAGTGGAAGGGCGTGATCCTCAGGTCCAGGGAGGTGTTGCTCTGGAGCGCGGAGGATCTGAAGTGCTGCTTCTACGTGTACAGCCTCCGCGATGTGTGGCTGAAGTACATGGCCATCTCAAAGCCCGTGAGGAGATGCATCGCTGGCCTCCCAGGCAAGGGCGTGATCTGCCTGGCCGCCGTTGTCGTGCCCATGGGATGGATATCGGCCACGGGGGTGATTCAGCACATTCATCGTCGTCTTCTGCGAGCCCGACATCCTGAGCTACGTCAACTTTCAGCGTCGGAGGAGTTGCGCAAGGACGCTCGTATTCCTCCTGCTCGCAGAGGTGGCCTGAGCAATGCAGGAGTGGCTCCCGTCCGCGGCGAGGTCGGCCACATTTGCGATGACGACGGGCGGATGATCTACATCGGGCGCGGCTCCAGCTCACTGCAGCTAGCTCCGTCGAAGTGGGGCAACCTGTTCCGCATTCGGGACGGTCTGGACAGGAACCGGGCCATCGAGCTGTCCGCAGAGCACCTGGAGAAGTCGCCCGACCTTCTGGCCGACTTATCTTCACTGAGTGGCGCTCGGCTACTCTGCCACTGCAAGGAGCACCAGGCCTGCCACGGCGATGTTCTGATCGCGAAGTGGTTGGAGCGCTTCAGCGCGCCATCCCTCTGGAGGGCCTGGCAGGTGTACATCGATAACTTGGAAGTGCTGGAGATCACCAGCTGGTGGCGCGCCAAGGCCCTGCAGGGGGAGGGAATCAGCGAGGCGGTCGATTTAGCCCGTCGGAGGTATGAGTATTTCAGCGTGCCGAGGAGCGAGAACAAGGCCGTCATCCGCGAGACAACGACGCAGTCCCTCAGGGAGGCGATCGATGGGGATCGTGGCACCATCGGGCCGCCCGCAGAGTTCGTGAGACGGCTGATCTCCCTCACCCTGGCGACCTTGCAACGGCCCACAGTGACTCAGAAGTGGATGCAGATCCTGGCGGGCCGCTGGGTTCGGTGCCTCTTGTTCAGGCGCGAGGCGATGATGTGCTTCACTCACCTGTGGCGATTCTTGGTGAAGATGCGTGGTGATGCGAAGCTGCCGCGTAGAGTGCGCGAGGAGCTGGTGTCGGCCTTGACGTTGCTCCCTTTGCTTCGTTGCGACCTGCGTGTGCCGATCAGCGGGTTGGTGACGGTCTCGGATGCCAGCATGCAGCGTGGCGCCGTGTGTCGAGCCGTTCGCCTTCGACCTGGTGGAGTGGCCGCTGCGAGAGCGGCCAGCAGAAGGCTGGTGACTGACTTCCGCGACGAGGTGGTGCTCCTGTCCTTGTTCGACGGCATCGGTGGGGCTCGCCGCGCCCTGGACCTTCTAGGGCTCACTCCCGCGCTGTTCGTATCCGCCGAGATCGACACCGAGGCGAAGCGGGTGACCAAGTATGCGTGCCCGGACGTGCTGGAAGGCGGCGACGTCTGTTCATTTGGGTTCGCCTAGGCGGTGGCCATCCGTGAACGAGTTCCGTATGTGAAGTGGATATCGGTGGTGGCCGGTAGCCCTTGCAGCGACCTGGCCCGCGTCAATGTTGAGCGTGTTGGTCTTCAGGGGAAGCGTTCACGTTTGTTTTACGAGATAAGCCGCATTGTGTCTTTGCTACGCGAGACGCTGGGTGATTTCTGCACGGTCTTGTCCTAGGTTGAGAACGTGGCCTCGATGGATTCGGAACCGCGACAGTTGATGTCACAATCCGTGGGATGCGAACCTGTGTTTATCTCAGCAGGTGATGTCACGCAATGTGAGCGTGACCGTCTGTATTGGATCAAGGAGGAGCTGTTGACGCCGTGGCAGGGCGAGACGTACTTCATGGACTCGGTGAAGCACGTCGTGATCCCTGATGGGCCTGGACCAGTTGAACATTGGCTGGGCGCTGAGCTTCAGGGGCATGATGACATCCAGAAGGACTGCCGCCTGCCCACCTTTCTGCGATGTGTTCTTCGTCGTGCTCCAGGTCAGTTCCCTACAGGTCTCGACAGATGTGCAGGTCATGAACTCGAACGTTGGCGCGAGTTCGACTACTGCTACGCGCCCTTTTTCAGGGCGCCAACTGCAGCAGGCTACCTGTCCAAGATCCCCTCCGTCAGGCAGATGCGTGAGACTGGAGGTGGTGCCAACGTCGCCGATGCCCCAGTCAGCATGGACCAGGTCGATTGCGACGAGGGTGTCTTGGTGCGCCAGCGCGATCTCGAGAGCGAGGATGCCGCGCTGGACCCCAGCATCATCATCGTGGAGGAGCTGGCCCGCAGAGCGGAGTCCAGAGGCAGCGATATCAGGCTCGACACATTCGAGGCGATGCGGCCTGACCTGTGGCCCAGGCGACCAGTCAGTGTGGCGCGCTGGACGTGGAAGGCCACCGCCATCAGGGACTGGAAGCACCCGTCACACATCGCGGACCTTGAGGTGAGGGCTACTCTGGGAGCCATGCGATGGCGTCTCAGATCTTCTTATCATTTGCGTACCCGCTTTTGTATCCGATGGATTCTCAGGCCGATCATCTTCTCTCTTGCTGCATTCTACCGTTCGACGCATTAGTGCCTTGATCTTGGCTGCTCTTGCCCGTCCTGTGCATGGCTACACGGAGACCGACCGCAACCCCGCGGACAACCCGTCGAGGGGGGCGGCGGAGGCATCTTGATGACATCATGCCAGGTCGAGTTCAACGCAGAGTCAGGGCAGCTCAGGATCAGGCTACGCGTCGTCAGCTTCGGGTCGTGGTGGGACGCCTGTCACTCAACTTGGTGCAGCCACGGGCGCTTGAGGTATTTCAGAATGCAGTGCGATTTTGTTTTTGTTTGCTCTCTCTCTCTCTCTCTCTCTCAGAATGGGTTGCCATGAGGGGGCTTTCTTGGTCTGGAGGTGCTGACCACATCGATCAATTGGATCTTCTGCTGGCCGACTGGATCGAGTGGCTCTGGACCGACCATCCTCAAGGTTTGGCAGGTAACACTTTTTTAGCCGTTCAGTTCTTCCTGCGTAAGAAGCGCATCCTGCCAGCTTCGTGGAGGCTGTTTCGTGCTTGGCAGAGACTGGAGCTGCCGCAGCGCGTGCTTCCGATGCCCGACATCGTGTTGACGGCGATGGCTGCCTCCGCACGCGGCTGGGGCCGCAACGACGTCGCGGCGCTGCTGGTACTCGGGTCTGCGGCCTTCTCGCGGACCACCGAGATGCTGACCTTGAGGCGCTGGCAGGTTGCCATCGACCTGGCTCACGCCAGACTCGTCGTAGTCTTGCCAATCACCAAAAGTGGCCTGCGGTTTCACCGACAGGAGACAGTCGTGATTGAGGATACCTCGGTGACACAGCTGATATCTTACTTGTTGCAACATGTTCCGTCAGACCAGCTGATCCTGTCTTCTTCGATTGGTGATTTCAGACGTGTATTCGAGCAGCTGTGTGCTGCCATCGGTTGCCAGCAGTTTCAGTTCAAGCCATGCAGTTTAAGAAGAGGGGGGGGGCCATATCCTTCTTCCGTCGCACCCGTAACATGCCTGCCACTCTAGAGAAAGGACGTTGGCAGGACACGGCGACGGCTCGCATATATCTTACAGAAGGCCAGCAGGCTCTCTCGGAATTGCGCGTTTCGCAGTCGACCCTCGACCGATAGGGTTTTCGTGAGAGCCTGCTGGCCTACGATGTGGCCTCCCCCGCTGCGGTGATTTCAAGGCGGTGAACCAGGTAGGGAGACGTGGAAGAGCTCTTGGGTCCTCTCGGCCTCGTCTTGCCTCATCGTTGCGCCCGGGGTTTTCCTGGTGGCCGCTGGCGGCCGTTTCGAGGGGCCCTGGTGTTCCGCGGAGGAGTCCTGGGACCATAGGCCTCGTTCGGCTTGGCCTCGCCCCGGGAGAAACTCGGCCGCGCGGTGCTGGCGGCGCTGGCGAGAGGCAGCGCGGGGCGGTGAGTTCAACGGGGCTCAGCCGCCCCGCTGGTGGGCCCGCGAGGCCCCGCTCGACAATGCCCTGGTGGAAGCGGTGTGGCACAAAACAAGAGGGGATCCCCAACAGTGAAAGAAACAGAAACCCATGTATTACATGTTGATTGTTTCGTCTTGTGGGGCCCCTCTCTCTTGTGCATGCGCCGCGATGCCGCCTCGCCGCAGGCTTTTTGTCTCCCGCCCTTGGGCCACCCTTTCGAGAGGGAAGAGCTCTTGGGTCCTCTCGGCCTCGTCTTGCCTCATCGTTGCGCCCGGGGTTTTCCTGGTGGCCGCTGGCGGCCGTTTCGAGGGGCCCTGGTGTTCCGCGGAGGAGTCCTGGGACCATAGGCCTCGTTCGGCCTGGCCCTGCCCTGGGAGAAACTCGGCCGCGCGGTGCTGGCGGCGCTGGCGAGAGGCAACACGGGGCGGTGAGTTCAATGGGGCTCAGCCGCCCCGCTGGTGGGCCCGCGAGGCCCCGCTCGACAATGCCCTGGTGGAAGCGGTGTGGCACAAAACAAGAGGGGATCCCCAACAGTGAAAGAAACAGGGTTGTCGCATCACCGACGTCGCGAATCTCGTGATTTTATTGGGGCTCCTGGGATTCTGAGCCGTGGACTTCCAGGGGATCCCCAGGTTGGTTTGGCGCCGGGGCTTGAAATCCCAGGACTCCCGGGAATTCTAATGCAAAACACGTGCGTGGTGGGTTGGCATCCCAGGAATCCCAGTGACATCACGAGGTTTGCGCATCACCAACGTCGCGACCCCTTATGATTTTATTGGGATTCCTGGGATTCGAAGCCCTGGACTTTCTGGGGATCCCAAGGTTGGCTTTGCTCCAAGACTTGAAATCCCAGGAATCCCAGGAATCCCAGTGAAAAACCAACGTGTCGTGGATTTGCATCCCAGAAATCCAAGTGAACTCGCAGGGTTTGCTGATCTCTCGCCTTTAGGATGGCTCACACGCTTGTTCCCCTTCTATGTCGAGGTAGCAGACCCTTGCATCTGTCACGTTGTTGCTTGTGGAGAAAGTGCCGCTATCGGGTGCAGGGGAAAGCTTCAGCGAGTAATCATATTAATATTGATAATACGAAGGAAATGACTATTAATAATGATAAAACGAGCAAGAGGACGCAACATAAGAATAGTAATACTTAGAGTACCACCAGGAATACGAAAAACATTAACAATACTAGTAGACACACTAAGCATATTATTAATAAGAATACACATAAGAACGCGAAGCGTATGATTCATTCGAATCACAATACTGAGCAACGTAGTGCCAATGTCAGTATTATTAATCATAATAATAACATGAAGAAGCGCAGCGGGAAGGGAAAGAAGGACTGAGGGAAGCGGCACGACTCCAGCCTCGTGGAAAGGAGGAAGGCGTAGACTGGGTGCTACTGGGGAGCTCTTTTTTTTTCCCCCCCCTCTCTCTCTCTCTCTCTCTCTCTCTCTCTTGGTGTATATATATATAGATAGGTATCCAATATTTTCTCTTCCCCCAGGGGAGGGGCTGGCTTCCGATCCCTTTTCTTTCTCAGAAATTTTCAGGCCACCCTCTTGGGGTTTCATGGGCCACCTGGGCTCCAGAACCCGTGCGACGCGCCAGTTTGCGAAAATCCTTCCAGCACCTAAAGAGCATCTGCTCTTTTCATATTTCGAGGGCGTCTTGGGCGTCCTCCTGGGACCGCTTGGGGTCGTCATGAGGCCTTGGATTGTTTTGAAGCCATCTTGAACCCTCTTGGGGCTTTGTTGGAGCCGCCTCCGTTTCGGAGCGAACCTGGCGCTTTCAGGGTGGGTTTTGGCCGTCTTGGGGTCGCCTGGAAGCCGAATTCAGCGCCGGAGAGCATATTCAGGGTGGCGATTTTCAAGGGATTGGTGCGGCGAGGGGGGGTCGGCCTGAGAAAGTACGAGAGCAACCCTACGGGACAATGGATGCCAACGGGCCCACGTCCTGCAGGCACGGTGGTGTATCAAAAGGGGGAGGGGGCGAGGCGCGGGGCGCCGCGCATCGCATCGACGGCGCGGGCGCCATGGGGGGGCGCCGCGCCTTTTGCAGGAGGGGGCGTTGGGGGAAAGGGGGTGCGCCCCCCAGACGCGTGGAGTAACCCCTGGGCTCGAAGGGAGGTCGGCTGAGCCACTGAGCGGGGCCCTCCTTGCGCGAACGGGAAGTGCAGAGCCGTGGCGGCGGGGCCTCGTGCTCGCCCCCCCCGTGCGCAAGAAGTCATGCACCCCTTTTTTGCCCCTGACACGTGAGCGGCCTGCAGACGGACGCCCGCCCCGAATCTCAAACGTCACACAGGAGAGTGCCTGTCGTCTTCGCTTCCTGGGCTCGGGTCGCCACGGCCGGGCCGCAACAGGTGAGGTGGGCTCCCGTTCCCACGGCTGGGCTGCAACCAGGTTTAAGCCGGGCGTGTCCCTCTACAGGGGGAATATTCTGAAATAGTCAAACAATAGTCTGGGGATATTTTTTGAGTTTTTTGGGGCATCTTTTGAATCTTTTTTGGGTACTTTTTGATTTTTCGTCCAAGATCCCACCGCAGGGGGACACGCCCGACTTAAAACCAGGTCAACTGGTGCGGGATGGGCCCCAGGGAAGGGCCTAAGGGGCTGGTCTCTGGGGTCCAAGGCCTCCGACGTCTTCGAGAAATCGAGGCGCATGTTTTTCATCGTTTTCGGCTTTTGGGGGGCTGTGCCTGGCCCCAGGACCCTCGAAAACGGCTCGGGAGGAAGAGCCAGCCCCGGGGAGAGTGTCCAGACCTCCGCGGATCCCGTCTTGAGGAATTCAAGACGTTGGATGTCTCGGGGTGGTCCAGTGGCTCAGTGACGGCGGCAGTTGCGGCGGCCGTCGGCGGTGCTCGAGGCTTCAGAGGCGCCATGGGGCCCGGCTGGCAAACACGATTCTCAAATTCGATGTTTCATCAGGGCGGCCGCGGACGTCAGCCTAAGACGGCGGCGACGGCGCCGGCGGCGGCAGCGGCTGCGCGATGGCCCCTGCGTATCACCCCCGTGGGGCTTGGCTCGAAGGCGCGCGCGCGTGCTCTCGCGCTCGCGGCAGCGGCGACGGCTGCGGCGACGGTGAGCGCGTGGGCGGCGTCGGGAAGTCCCGAAGGTCAACCCCCGGAGGCGTGGCTCGAAGGCTCACGCGCGCTACGAGCGGTACAAGCACGGCGCCTCCATCGCGGAGGCCCTTCGGCTGGGGGCTCTTCCAGGCGTCGGAGGGCGTCAATGAGCACATAGTTTCGTCGTCCCGTCGCTGATCAGTCAGGATCGTCGCGCTGCCGAGTGCGATGAGAGAAAACGACAAACGACCAATACCGAGGCTTCGAAGTACACAGGCACTCCTCCTCGTCCCGTAGTAGTCTGACGTAGCCTGAGAGCGTCGAGCTGCTCACGTCTCCTTCCAGGCGTTGGATCGCGTCACCAAATGTTGGTTTCTTCCGCTCCATCCACGTTCCTTGTAAGTAATCTTTCTCCTTTGGCCACCAGGCGTGTCGGTAGGCCGGCCCCGGCGTTCCGTCTGAGAAGACCCCTTTGTTTCTGACCCCGAAGCTTGACACGTCGACAAGTTGCGCGGGCGGAGTGGGGGGCCGTTTTCAAACTGTGGTTCTTCCTTTGGCGCCGCGCGCACATTCGCATCGACAGACCCCAGCAGTTTACACGGATGAAGGGGGGGTCGTATTTGAAATGTGGTTTTCGCCTGAGCGCCGCGCCCATTCGGTTCAAACTCGTCCAACACTTCACGGATGGAAGGGTGGGTGGGTCGTTTCCAAGATTCTGTTTCAGCCCGAGTGCCGCGCGCATTATTTTGCCAACAGCAACGCGGATGGATGGCGGCTCCTGTTCAAAATATGGTCCCAGCAGTTGCACGGATGGGGTGGGGGCGGGGGTCTTTTGCACAATGCGGGTCTCGCCCTGGCGTCGCGCGCATGCGTTTAAACGTTACCAACATCTGCGCCGATAGTGGGTGGCTCCTTTTCCGAACCGACCTTTCGCTCAAGGCTTTATCGACCCTCTGATAAGAAACTTTGTATTGTATCAGCCGCACCGATGGAGGGCTGCTTCTTTTCAAATCGTGGCTCGCGCTAAATGTTTCTGTACACTGGAGGCTCGTCCACAAGATACCTTCCACAAGAAACCCAACCCTGAGACCCCAGGACGTCCATTGATTTTTGATGTGGAAACGTCGGTCCTTCCGTAGAACAACCATCGAAACCCAAGAAACCTAGGGCACCCCGGAGGCGAGCAGGGTGCTTCTTATGCGTTTGCCCGTGGCTTTCGCTAAGTGCTTCTGTATGTTTTTTTGTGTGGCCATGCGCTCGCATTCGGAGATCATTTGCGCGGATTGAGGGTGGCTCTAGTTCAAAGCGGTGTTCTCGCTGGACGCGTCGTCGAACTTCCTACTCTTACCTCGTCGCCGTCCTTATAGCCAGAATCAAGTCGGGCCTGTCCCTCTCTAATTTGTCGGCCAAAATTTGCCTGTAGGGCGACACGCCCGACCTAATCTCCGTGGATGGCAGTTCTTTTTCAGAGCGGGGTTATCGCCTGACTTGCAAGGTCACAGAGCGCCTGTCTTTCAAGGGGGCACCTCCCGCAGCGAAAAGGACCTGCTGCATGGGCTTGTGAGGGGAGCACCTGGGCTGTGCGGGCGGATTGCCCTTCCGTGAACGTGTCCTGGGTCTGCTCTGGCTCCTCCTCTGCCCCTTCCTCCAGGCGTCGGGCAGCGCCAAACTGCCCTTTTCCTCTCCCTCCTCCTGCCTCCCAGGCCTCCGACGCCGTGGTTTTTCAAGCCCGGCGCCTTCTTCCCCTTCCTCCAGGCGTCGGGCGGCGCCAGACTGCCCTTTTCCTCTCCCTCCTCCTGCCTCCCAGGCCTCCGACGCCGTGGTTTCTCCAGCCCGGCGCTCTCGATCCCTCCCTGCGATTGCTGCTGTGTGGCCGCTGGCGACGGGCTGCCTCCCGAAGGCCTAGACCGGCCCTCGGCCGCAGGCCGCGAAAAGCAGCATATGGGGTAAAGGAGAATCAGGAGGGGAACAAAAAGCACACAGACACAAGGAATCGTCGACTCCCAGGAAAATACAGGGAAATATGGGAAGTGGGGGGGAAGACAATTACCCTGCGACGTACCCAACCCACGTGCATCAAGTGGCAAGAGGCGTAGGCCAACATTAGCAGGCACAACGATAATGTAGGCGATGTGAATTGCTGTGCAAACTACATGGGATGCGCACGCATTGCACGGCTCACAGGACGACGATCGAAAGAACGAGGATTAAAGCCCCAGGCTCGCGTATGACGTCACTCCGCTGGGCCACCCAGCAGCCCTCGAAAGTGGTGACAGTTTCGCAGATCGCAGCCCCCCAAGGATGGCGAGGTCTAATCTGAATCCGAATACGTCCCCACTCCGCTGGGCCCTCCAGCAGCCCTCGAAAGTGGCGACAATTTCGCAGATCGCAGCCCTTCGGGGATGGCGAAGTCGAGTCTGAGTCTGCGTAGGACCCACTCCGCTGACCCCCCAGCAGCCATCGAAAGTGGCGACGGTTTCGCAAATCGCAGCCCCCCAGGAATGGCGAGGTCGAATCTGACTACCCCACTCCGCTGCCCCCCCCCCAGCAGCCCTCGAAACTGGCGACAATTTCGCAAATCGCAGCCCCCCCCAGCGATGGCGAGGTCTAATCTGAGTCCCCGTGGGGGCTCACTCCGCTGGTCACCCCAGCAGCCCTCCGAAGTGGCGACAATTTCGCAGATCGCAGCCCCCCCCACAGATGGCGAGGTCTAATCTGAGTCCCCCTGGGGCCTCACTCCGCTGGGCCCCCCAGCAGCCCTCGAAAGTGGCGACAGTTTCACATCACAGATCGCAGCCCCCACAAATGGCGAGATCTAATCTGAGTCCCCGTGGTGCCTCACTCCGCTGGGCCCCCCAGCAGCCCTCGAAAGTGGCGACAGTTTCACAGATCGCAGCCCCCTCAGGGATGGCGAGGTCTAATCGGAGTCCCCGTCCCCGTGGTGCCCTACTCCGCTGGACCCACCAGCAGTCCTCGAAAGTGGCGACAGTTTCGCAGATCGCAGCCCCCACAGATGGCGAGGTCTAATCTGAATCCCCGTGGTGCCTCACTCCGCTGGACCCACCAGCAGCCCTCGAAAGTGGCGACAGTTTTCAGAGATCGCAGTCCCAGAGATGGCGAGGTCTAATCTGAGTCCGCGTGGTGCCTCACTCCGCTGGACCCACCAGCAGCCCTCGAAAGTGGCGACAGTTTCACAGATCGCAGCCACCCCCAGAGATGGCGAGGTCTAATCTGAGTCCCCGTGGTGCCTCACTCCGCTGGACCCACCAGCAGCCCTCGAAAGTGGCGACAGTTTCACAGATCGCAGCCCCCCCAGATGGCGAGGTCTAATCTGAATCCCCGTGGTGCCTCACTCCGCTGGACCCACCAGCAGCCCTCGAAAGTGGCGACAGTTTCACAGATCGCAGCCCCCCACAGATGGCGAGGTCTAATCTGAATCCCCGTGGTGCCTCACTCCGCTGGACCCACCAGCAGCCCTCGAAAGTGGCGACAGTTTCACAGATCGCAGCCCCCCACAGATGGCGAGGTCTAATCTGAATCCCCGTGGTGCCTTACTCCGCTGGACCCACCAGCAGCCCTCGAAAGTGGCGACAGTTTCAGAGATCGCAGCCCCCCCCAGAGATGGCGAGGTCTAATCTGAATCCCCGTGGTGCCTCACTCCGCTGGACCCACCAGCAGCCCTCAAAAGTGGCGACAGTTTCACAGATCGCAGCCCCCCAGCCCCCAGGGATGGCGAGGTCTAATCTGAATCCCCGTGGTGCCTCACTCCGCTGGACCCACCAGCAGCCCTCGAAAGTGGCGACAGTTTCACAGATCGCAGCCACCCCAGAGATGGCGAGGTCTAATCTGAATCCCCGTGGTGCCTCACTCCGCTGGGCCCCCCAGCAGCCCTCGAAAGTGGCGACAGTTTCACAGATCGCAGCCCCCACAAATGGCGAGGTCTAATCTGAATCCCCGTGGTGCCTCGCTCCGCTGGACCCACCAGCAGCCCTCGAAAGTGGCGACAGTTTCACAGATCGCAGCCCCCCCAGGGATGGCGAGGTCTAATCTGGGTCTGAGTATGACCCCACTCCGCTGGGCCCCCCAGCAGCCCTCGAAAGTGGCGACAGTTTCGCAGATCGCAGCCCCGCACAGGGATTACCAGGCAGGAGGCAAGCTGACACGCGGCGACGAGCAAGGTGAGATGCAGGGGGGAAGAGGAAAGGAGGAACGAGGCGGGAAGGAGGAGGAGGAGGGAAGACGCGACCGCAGTGCTCTATTCAAAACGAGTGCCCAACGCAGGAGGGTTGGGAAAAACCAAGAGAATATGGTAGAATATGGGGAATCCGGTTATTTGTGTGTATTTATCTGTGTGTCCCAGGGCCCCCTCCAGAGAAACCGCCCTCGAGCAGCCTCGTGGCACCGATCCTCCTCTGGGGCCCCGCGGCCCGTTGGGGGCCCCGGAGCCCTCGGGACGCTGCCTGGGCCGACGCCGTCGGCGGCGCGTCGCCGACCCCGGGTCGATGCCCTTCCCCCGCCGAGCCGGCCCCTCGGGCGTGTTCCGGCGAGTTCGTGGGCGGCATGTTGTTCTGACGCCGTTGTTTGGCGGCAGAGGTGGGGCGGAGATGGGGGAACAGACAGTGTCACGAGCATCACAACCTGGAGGTCCGCGCGGGCTTCTCGGATCCGCGCAAGGGGCCCCTGGGCGCTCTGGCGCCGCCCCTGGCGCGCTGGGCGTGCCAGGGATGGGGGTCCAGCGCCGAGCCGAGAAATCCGCACGGACCTCGGAGTTTTTCTATGTCTTTGTCGTTGCGCGTTCCCCCTCGAAGACAGAGCGAGGGATATGACGAAAGCAGAGCGAAGACGGGAAGCACCGTGTGGCTCGAGCCCTGCTCCCGATTCCTCCCCCCCCTCGAGTGCTGGCACGCGTGCTGAGCTGCTCCACGGCGGCCGCAGTTGGTCAGGAGGGAAAAAAACACACAGACACAATGAGTCGTCGACTCCCAGGGAAATATGGGGAGATATGGGCAGTGGGGGGGGGGAAGCAAGCACCCAGAATAAAGATGCGAAGATGTGGGGAATCCTGCTATTTGTGTGTCTTTGTGCGTGTGTGTGTGTGTGTGTGTGTGTGTGTGTGTGTGCGTGTGTGCGTGTGTGTGTGTGTGTGTGTGTGTGTGTGTGTGTGTGTGTGTGTGTGTGCGTGCGTGTGCGTGTGTGCGTGTGTGCGTGTGTGCGTGGGCTGGACGCCATCAGAGGCAGATCTACAGGGCGGAAGGGCGCTCCCGGCGACGGAGGCGACCGAGGCCTCCCGGGGCCCGCGGGCGGCGGGGAGCCCCGCGCGTCGGCCGTGCGCCCCCCTCGTCCAGAGATCCCGAGGAGGAGGAGGAGGAGGAGGAGGAGGAGGAGGAGGAGGAGGAGGAGGAGGAGGAGGAGGAGGAGGAGGAGGAGGAGGAGGAGGAGGAGGCGCCTGATTCCACTAAACCCAGGAGGACGTCTTTGAATACGGAGTCCCCAGATGTCTCGACCCCTTCCCAGGGGGGGGACCGGCTTCTCGTCCAGAGTAGTTTTCTGACGGTCCCAGGGCCTAGCGAGGGCCTTCGGAGGCCGAAGACGGGGAAGAGCCTAAGTTTTGTCGTTTCTGTTTTCCAGCCCTCCTGTGTTGGTATCTCGTTTTGAGTAGAGCACTGCGGTCGCGCACACACTCTCGTTCGCCCCCCCTCTCCTCCTCCTCCTCCCCCCTTTGTCTGCCTCCTCCTGCGCAGCTCCCTGGGTGGCTGCGAACTGTGCAGCTGTCGCCATTTTCGTGGGCCCCCGGGAGGCACGGCGGAGTCCGGGCGTAACCGGACCGTTTGAGACCTCGCAGCTCCCTGGGTGGCGAACTGTGCAGCTGTCGCCATTTCCGTGGGCCCCCGGGAGGCACGGCGGAGTCTCGGGCCGGGCGAAGGGAGGGGATTGGGAAAGGGGGGGTCACGAAATTTGCTGCATGCAGCTGGTTTCGGCCCCACCGAGGGGCCCATTCCTCGATGCATGGCGCCGGGAGGCGCCGGGAAAATCAGCTGCGTGAGCTGATTCTCAAACCCCCCTTTTGCGATCCCCCCCTTTCGCCCGACCCGAGAGTCGGGGAGTGAGCGGCTGCCGCGTGCGGCCGGCGTCCCCCCGAGGCGACATCGCGTGGGACCTGCAGCGGGGCTTCGTCCGCGCCGCCGCGGGCGGCGGCGCGACGGTCCCAGGGCCTCTCAACCTGGGCCTCCTTCTATTCCTCCTCCTCCTCCTTCTCTTCCTTATCCTCCTCCTCCTCCTCCTCCTCCTCCTCCTCCTCCTCCTCTTCCTTATCCTCATCCTCCACCTCTTCCTTCTTCTCCTCTGCCTCCTCCTCCGCCTCCTCCTCGCCTCCTCCTCCTCTTTCTCCTCCTCCAGCTCCTCCCTCCTCCTCCTCCTCCTCCTCCTCCTCCTCCTCCTCCTCCTCCTCCTCCTCCTCGGTGTTTGTTGAATCGTCATTCTTAGAGAATAATTTTTGTAGACCCCCCCTCGGGTGTCAAACAGGAGGTGCGCGCGCCAAGGATCATACAATCGTAGGTGGGGATGCAAGGAGGGGTGGCGATGGCGGCAATCTCTGGCTGGCGGGGGACATGTGCGACTTCTGCGACATGGCGGCCAGTGATCGGGGCGAGCCAGGTCCGTCGGTGCGCGCCGCCTCCGGAAGCAGTCTCGGGGCTGAGGCTCTGGAGGGGCGTCTCCGGGTTCGGCCGGGGGGCTCTCGAAAGGTGGGGAAGCCAGCCTTAAGTCGGGCGTGTCCCTCTACGGGGGGAATAGTCAAAAATAGGTAAAAAATAGTCAGAGGACGATTTTGAATATTTTTGCGCATTTTGGGATTATTTTTTGAATATTTTAAATTTTCCGCCCAAGATCCCCCTGTAGGGGGACAGGCCCGACCTACAGCCAGCGGAAGGCAGTGCGGAATGATATCGGTCGGTCTTGGGCTCTCGTAGCGCACTCCTGGCCCGTCCTGGAACATGTTAGTGGGGTCGTTTGCCAGGCTCGCCTCTGTGTCTCCTACCCCTTCTCTCTCCTTCCCTCTCCCTCCACGTTTTCGCACTTGTTCTTAACCTCCGGGGGTCTCTGGGGGGCCCGGACCCTTCTTGGGGCCCTCCGCAGACCTTCCCGAGGCCCTCTGGGGACCATCCTGGAGCCCTCTTGGAACCATTCCGAGGTTCTCCTGAGGCCATCTTGAGGCTCTCTTGGGACAATCCCGAAGACCTGTGGGCCAGGCAACCCTCATGAGACCATCCCCAGGCCTTCCAGGACCGTTCGAGGAGCCTCCTGGGATCTTCCCAGCCCCTCCCTCGAACTTTTCTGGCAAGCTGAAGGCTCCTTCTGGAGCCTCTTGGTACTTCCCTGGGACTCTCCTCGAGCCCTCTGGGGAGGCGTCCCCGGGGGGCCGTGAAGTTTCAGAATCGGTCGCGAAACTGGCGGCACCAGGCTGCGGGGCAGTTGTCGGACCAGCAAAATCACCATGTCCCAGAGCATTCGGTGACTCCTGAACCCAGGCCCGGACCGCCGCCTCCCGGAACAAAACACTGCTCAGTGTTCAACATGCTCTAAGCTTCAAAGAACTCCGGTGCCTCTCCGAGGACCATGGAGACCATCCTGGGTCTTCCTGGAGGCCTCTTGGGGCCGCCGAGACAGTCCTGGGGTTCTCCTCGGATCATCCAGGGGCGCTGCTGAGGACATCCTAGGACCATCGTGGTGAGGTCCTCGGGGGAACAGCGCCCACTATCCCCAGGCTATCCCGAGGCCTCCTTGAGAGACGTCTGGGGAAGATGAGAGCGAGAGCGAGAAGAGGGCCCGCTCGCCCTTATCCTTTTTCCGACTCTTTCCTGCCGACCCTCCCTCCTCACCTCCCTCCCCCCCCTTCTCCTGCCGCACGGTCGGTCGGAATAAGCCAGGAAGGAACATGGGAACGAGGGGGGAGGGAAATGGGGAGGGGGGGCGAGGGCAGGGGGAGGAGGGGGCCACGGCCGGTCGGAAGAAGCGAGGGGGGGGCACGGCGCAGGCACAGGGGAGGGGGCACGGCCCGTCGGAATCAGCCAGGGGGCGGCGGCGCAGAAGACGGGGGGGCGGGGGCGCGGTCGGTGGGAGTAAGACACTGAAGGGGGGGGGGGAGGGGGGGGCTCGTGGGGGGATGGGAAAAAAGGCCACGGGGCGGGGAGAGGGCGCGGGGCAAGGGGGGCGAGGTCGGTCAGAATAAGCCACGGGGGGGGCGAGAGGGGAGGGAACTGGGGAGGGGAGGGGGGGCGGAAGGGCGGAAGGCAGGGGGAGGAGGGCGGCGCAGTCGGTCGGGCGGAATAGGCCAGGGGGGGCACGGGGCAGGCAGAGGGGAGGGGACACTGCAGGTTGGAGCAAGCCAGGGGGAGGGGGGGGGGCTCGTGGGAGGAGGCAAAAAGGCCACGGGACGGGGAGAGAACACGGGATAGGGAGAGGGGAGGGGGCACGGTCGGTCGGAATAAGCTAAGGGGGGCGATGTGACAGGCAAAAGGGGAGGGGGGGGCGGAGGGCAGGGGAAGGAGCAGGGGAAGGAGGGGGGCACGGTCGGTCGGAATAAACCAGGGGGACACGGGACAGGCACGGGAGGGGCACGGCCGGTCGGAATAAGCCAGTGGGGGCACAGATGACGGAGGGGCGGGGGCGCGGTCGGTCGGAATAAACCAGAAGGGGGGGGCGCGCGGGGAGAGGCAAAAAGGGCACTGGACGAGAAGAGGGCACGGGCCAGGCAGAGGGGAGGGGGCATGGTCGGTCGGAATAAGCGAGGGGAGGCGAGGGGAGAGGGACATGTGGGGGGGAGGGGGGGCGGAGGGCAGGGAGAGGAGGGGGGCGCGGTCAGTCGGAATAAGACGGGGGGGGCGCGGGACAGGCACAGGGGAGGGGGCACGGCCGGTCGGAATAAATTTGGGGGGCACAGAGGACAGGGCGGCGGGGGGACGGTCGGTCGGAATTAGCCAGGAGGGCACAGAAGACTGGGGGCGGGGGGCACTGTCCGTCGGCATAAGCCACGGGGGGGGTGTTCGTGGGGGGGACAAAAGAGGCCATTGGACGGGGAGAGGGCACGGGACAGAGAGGGGAGGGGGCACGGTCGGCTGCAATAAGCTACGACGGGGGAGGGAAATGGGGAGGGGGGGGCGGAGGGCAGGGAAAGGAAGGGGGCACGGTCGGTCGGAACAGGGGGGGCACGGGGCAGGCACAGGGGAGGGGGCACGGCCGGTCGGAATAAGCCAGGGGGGCACAGAAGACATAGGGGCGGGGGCGGTCGGTCGGAATGGGCCAGGGGGGTCGTGGGGGAGGCGGGAGAAAGCACAGGACATGAGAGAGGCACGGTCGGTCGGAATAAGGAATAAACCAGGGGACAGGGGGGGGCACGGGGGGGGGGGCACGGCCGGTCGGAATAAGCCAGGGGGGGTCGTGGGGGGGGGGGGTCGGGGGCACGGTCGGAGAAAGCGCCGGGGGGGGGCGGGGGGAGGGGGAGATGTGGGGGGGGGAGGGGCACGGTCGGTCGGAATAAGCCAGGGGGGGGGGGGGGGGGCGGGACAAGGAGAGGTAGGGGGCACGGTCGGTCGGAATTAGAAAAGGGGGGCACGGGTCAGACGCGGGGGGGGGCGGGGCGCGGCCGGTCGGAATAAGCCAGGGGGGCGCAGAAGACGGGGGGCGTGGGCACGGCCGATTGGAATACGGGGACAGGCAGAGGGGAGGGGGCACGGTCAGGGGGGAGGGGGGGGGCACGGAGGACGGGAAGGCGGGGGCACGGTCGGTCGGAATGACAAGGGGCCACGGGACGGGGAGAGGGCACGGGACACAGAGATGGGGAGGGGGCTCGGTCGGTCTGAATGAGCCAGGTGAGGCGAGGGGAAGGGAAGTGGGGAGGGGACGGGGGGCGGATGTTAGGGAGAGGAGGGGGGCACGGTCGGTTGGAATTCGACGGGGGGGGGCACGATGCGGGCAGACGGGAGAGGGCACGGCCGGTCGGACTAAGCCAGGGGGTGGGGGGCACGGAGGACATGGGGGCGGGGGCACGGTCGGTAGGGATAAGTTTTTTTTGGGGGGGTCGTGGGGGGAGGGAAACAAGGCCACGGGGCGGGGACAGCTTTTGACATATCGACACGCGTGCCAACACAGATGGTCGGAGCAGCGCGTAGACAGCAGACATCCCAGCACGCAGGCCAACATATGGAGAGGACACCCCAGCGCTCACATTCCAGGACACATGTCTTCGCACATCCCACGGCACGTCGAGCACATTCCAGGCACGCATTCCAGCAGACGCAGCGCGCAGACAGCAGACATCCCAGCACGCAGTCCAGCAGACGGAGACAGGATGCACCCCGACGTTCACATTCCAGGACACATGTCTTCGCTCGTCCGAGGGCCAGTCCAGCACATTCCAGCCGCGCGTTCAGGTCCAGCATTCGTCCCGGGGCACCTCGAGCACATTCCAGGCACGCATTCCAGTCCAACACATTCCACGCACTCATTCCAGCAGGCGGAGACAGGACACACCCCGGCGTTCGCAGTCCAGCACGTTCCAGGCGCGCATTCCAGTCCAACACATTCCACGCACTCATTCCAGCAGGCGGAGACAGGACACACCCCGGCGTTCACAGTCCAGGACACATCTTCTCGCACATCCCAGTGCACGTCCAGCACATTCCAGGCACGGTCGGTCGAAATAATGCAGTGCGAGATCACACGGGTAGGTCTGATACTTTAATTTTCCGTTGAAATGTCCCCTTGTGGGCTGGCATTCAAAAACAAATATGACAGTTTTATAGGGGAAGTATTGAGGGTCAGACTGTGCTGCTGGTTCCCAGTTTGCGAGAACAGCGACATCCTTCATTGAGCAATTTGTTCTCGCTGAGGCGCCTGCCACATGTCTGATGAACAATGTCGCTGTCGCCCAGGCGCCGGCCACATCTTTTATTGAGCATGCCGTTCCCGCTGTGGCACTGGCCACATCCGACTGAAAATGTTGTTTTCTCCTAGGCGCCAGCCGCACACATGATTGCGATAGTTGTCCTCGCTTCAACGCGGGCCGCACTCTCGACTCGGAGTTCTGATTTCGCTTCGGTCCCAGGCGCCGGCCGCGCGTATGATTGCGATTGCTGTTCTTCTCGCCTCAGCGCGGGCTGTGCCCTCGATTCGGAGTGCTGCTCTCGCCTGGCGCCGGCCGAAAGTATGATTCTGAGGGTTGTTGTCACCTCTGCCGCTTCGGCGCCGGCCGCACCTCTGATTGCGAATGCCCTTCTCGCCTTGATTATAGATTTCACCATCGCTGGGGCGCCCGCTGTATCTTGGCTGCGAGCGCCGTCTGCGCGGCAGTGGAAAATGCAGCCTCACAAGCATCTGGGCTGCGCAAGAATCTGGATGCGCTTGGGTTGCTTCGCGTTGTGCTACTAGTTATCGTAGTGCTGGCCACATTGGTGCTGCTTATGCTGCTAGTAGTCCTGCGCATGGTGCTGCTGATTTCCGTCGTGCTTGTCGCAGTAGTGCTGCTTCCAGTGATGCTCCTTACAGTGGTACTGCTCGCTGCATTTGTGCTGGTGCGGATAGTACTGCTGATGACGCTGTTAGTGCTACTTGTTGTGCTGCGCCTTCCCTTCGTGCTGGTCATACTGGTGCTGCTGGAGGCGCTGGTGCTGCTGCTTCGCGGAAGGCTGTTGCATCTGGTGATGCTCGTCGCACTGGTATTGCTCGTTGCGCTTGTGCTGGTGCACGTAGTGTTGCTGTTTCTCGCCGTGCTGGTCACAGTGGTACTGCTGGTGGCGTTGGTAGTGGTGCGCGTGGTGATGCTGCTTCCCGTCCTGCTGGTCACACTGGTGCTGCTGGTGACCTTCGTGCTGCCGCGTGTGGTGCAGCGTGTTCCGTCGGGCTGGTCACAGTGGTGGTACTGCTTGTTACGCTTGTGCTGCTGGTTACCGTTGTGCTGGTCACATTGGTGCTGCTGGTTGCACTTGTGCTGGAGCGCGTGGTGCTGCTGCTTCCTGTCATGTTGGTCGCGCTGGTGGTGCTGGTTGCGTTAGTGGTGCTGCGCGTGGCGCTGCTGTTTCCCGCCGTGTTCGTCACAATGCTACATTTTGTGGCGCTGGTGTTGCTGCGCGTGGCGAAGCTGCTTGCTTTCGTTGGCCAGATTCTTCATTCGAGACGAAGAGGGATCGGTGATATAATTGGCACTTTTGCATTGCATATTGCTGTGTCGCCCCATTCTGGTGTATCATCTGCTACAGTGCGCGCGTGACACACTGGTGTCGCCGAGCCGTTGGTCACGTTAGCTTTAATGTGTCAGGTTAGCTTAGGCGCAGTGTCGACAGGGCCTGGATCAGGTTAGGTTAGGTTTGTCACGTTAGGAGGGGGCCTGGCTGGCATGAGTGGCGCTAGGGAGGGCTGAAACGAAAGTTGGACTGTTTTGGCAGTCTGGGCGGGAGTCTCGAAAGTATCAGTGATACCGTGGAAGAGTGGTGAACTACATACTCATGGCGGTAGATAGCAGTGAGGTTTCAACATGTTGTAGGCTAGCACAGACAGTGCTGGCTGGCCTTTTGAGGTACGATCAACTGTGTGAAAGTAGGCGCATGGCGCTGCGATTATGTGATGGCGTTATATAGCACTGTATGCAAATTGTGGCACAGAGTAAACTCGCCTAAGAAGTAAAGAGCAGGCTGGCCTAAGAAGTACCTCCCCTCTCCTCCTCCTCCTCCTCCTCCTCCTCCTCCTCGTCTTGTCGGGACCTTTCAATCCTTCCGTCGATTCTCTGCGGCTTCCCAGCCTCGGGATGCCGTTCAGCAGCTGCGCCTCGGCGAGAGCGCTCCGGAGATGCCAGAATCGTCCCGAGCGGCTGCCAGCGGCCCGCGTGATGGCCCGAAAGCCGACAACGCCTCGCTGAGAAAACGAGAATGCGACGGAATGTGCTCCTGCCATTTTGGGCCTTCGGGGGCCCTCCCGGGGCTCCGCGGGCCGTCAGAGAACGGCTCGGGAGGAGAAGCCGGTGTCGGGGAAGTGGGGAGGCCAGCCGCGTGCAGTTCGGCACGAACGAAATGGGTGCGGGAAGAGTGGGAACGAAGACCAGCAGCAGTTCCTGTTCGTTTTGACAGGACTCGCTGTCGTTGTCGCCGCGGACGGTGTCCATTTGAGACAGAAGGCCACCTGCCCAACAACGGCCGCTGTCGTGTTTGGATAACACTTGCTGTTGGGCATCGTACCCATTTTCCCCGTGCCCATTTCGGGCGTCCAACGCAATTGGTTCCCTGACCCCCCGCCCCCCCCCGTGTGCTCGGTTACCGTATTGGCTTACTCCGTCTGGACTAAGCCTCTCCTGATCGAAGGCTAGGTCCATACAGAGTAGGTCTATACGAAGTGCTCGGTCTCCGTCCAGGCTTACTCCGTCTGGACTTAGCCTCTCCAGACCCCCCGCTCCCCCCATGTGCCTCCTCCTCCTCCTCCTCCTCCTCCTCCTCCTCTTCGAGCGGCCGGAGCTGCATGTATCCGATCCCGTGCCCGGGCAGGGCCGGTTTTGCGCCGATGGCGTCCTTTCGCACCCGTCTTGTCACGAGACGGCTGAGGATCCGAGGGCCTCCTCGGACGCTCGGAGGGCTCCCGGGTGCCCCTGGAGAGCCCTCCAGGGGCCTCCGGGGAGACCTCGGGAGGGCCCTGGGCCTCCTGGCGCCGCGAGCAGCAGCCTCGGGAGCCGCGCCCTGCTGGCCCTCGCGAGCAGCGCCCCCGGCGCCGGCGGCTCGGCGCGGCTCGGCGCGGCTCGGCGCGGCGGGCCGTCGGTCAGCAGAAAACTAAGAGGGGTGTCCAGGTAGACCCTGGCTTAAGAACCCCTCCAGGGTAGACCCCCCTTCTAGAATGTAGAAAATTGGCCAGGGCCGAACGTGGTCCTGGGAGGGGGCCCAGGATAGAGCCTGAGATGAAAAAACCCTTAGGGCTGGGTCGTGGGATTGGGTCCTTGGGACGGGTTTTAGGATAAAGTTCCAGGATCGGCTTCTGGGACTGGGTGCTGGGTTAGGGGCCTGGAGTAAAGTCTGGGGAGAGGCTCTTACACCATACTACTTGGACAAGGTCCTGTCTCATGTTCCTGGGATACGGTCCTGCGATCGGGTCCTCGGATCGGGCCCTGAAATATGGCATTGGAGGAGGGAGGGGAGGATTGGAGGGGGGAGGAGGGTGATGGGGGGCATGAGGGGGGGGGATGTGAGAGTGAGGGCGAGGGGGAGGGCCTACGGAACGCCACTGGGGCTAAAACGAATACAAAACCAGCAGCCGCACGATCATTTATCACCATCACCACTGTAGCCTGTTTTGGCTCGAAGCGTTGGTTCAGCGTCTCAACGCCGAGCTAAGCTTTCCATTTTCGGGCACGTTGAGGGTTGTATCGAGCGATGTCAGCTCCGCAGAAACGGTCGATCTCTGAGCGGACGGCGGAGAACGCAGCTGTACAGGTGGTGAGGACCTTCGCCACGCTCGGCGCAGTTGCTGCTGAACGCGAGCTGGTGAACGTCACGGCCAAACTCAAGGAGAACACGCATTTGTTGTACGGCGTTAGCGCCATCATTGAGGACCCCAACTCGTGGGAGCTTGTGGCCGATGTAAACATGGTGCAGGCCTTGGTGAGGTTCGCGAAGGACGGCAACTTGCGTGGCCTTCTCCTCGGCGTGCAACCTGATGCCGCGGCTCTGACCGTCGCCAAGCCAGCTGCCAGGGCGAGGAAGCTGCGCTCGTCGGCCAAGAGGGTGAAGCACCTTTACATGGCGGACTACATGGAGGCCGTGGTGCTCAATGCCTTGCGGCGGCTCAACAAGCACGACCTGTTCAATGCCGACCAGTCTGGCAACATACCAGCAGCCGTCAGTAACACCGACCCCCTGAAGGTGCTGTGCTGGGCCCTCGACTGTGACCTGGAGATGCTCTTGCCGCACACCTACCTGCAGGACCAGAAGGGCATCTTGCTGGATGACTTGGCCGACATCTTCGTCATCAGGGGCGAGTCGCGTGGGGAGAAGCTGAAGGACATGGACCTGGCGATGTTCACGAAGTCCGCTGGTTGGTACTCGAAGGACGATGAGAAGAAGCTCATTCAGTGCAGCATCAACACCGACAAGGCTCGGCGATGCGTTCAAAATTAGAAGGGGGCACGGCGCAGATGAGGAACTCCACGATGCCGCCCATTGGGCGGCATCCCAGGTCAGACCAAGCCCCGCATACGAAAATGCAAACACAATACGTGCGCCACCGACGTAAAACAAAACACAGCCACTTCGGGTATCCCTGTCCCTAAATCGTTCGGTGTTGGAGGGTGTCCAATCATTCGGTTCAAACATAGCTTCGGCGTTTGGGGCCATGGGAACTATCATGAAACGTATACTCCTCATCTGCTCCATGCTGACATGCCCAAGGTCGTCAGTTTCGATTTCGCCACGGCGTGCGAGGTGGACGACCGCTTCAGTCTGTCTGCTAACGCGTTGTGCCAGGTCGGGAACAGCACAAAGCTGCAGCTCCCGCTGAAGAGCCAGGTCGAGGACGCGGGAATCGAATTCAAGGTGGTGGACAACAAACCGTGGGAACTCAAGGGGATGCCGCATGCAACTCTCGCGCCACCAGAGTCTGGTGCGGCGTCCTGTGGCGGGAAGACGACAACGGGGGGGCAACGACAGCTGCCAAGAGGCAGAAGCTGGGCACTGCTGACGCGATTGGCGGCGCGCTCAGGAGGCGCCTGACGGGTCGCTCAACTGAGGCTGGCGCAGCCCCTGGCCCTAGCGGCGCTGCCACTGGCTCCGCACCCACCCTCGGCGCTGGCAGCGGCGGGAGCGCTGCGGGTGCTGCCTAGCGCCTAGGCTCCGCGCTGCGACCCCAGCGACTCGCCTCGACTGCAGAGTCCAGTTTTACCACGAACTTTCTAGGTTGACTCTGAGATAGGCTTCGGTACTTTTGACCACCCGCATGTGTATATTCGGTCGCCCTTTCTTGCGGCCCCTCGGGTAGGGCAGAGAGGCTCGGCGATATTCCGCGAGCTAGTGCGCGCTGTTGCAGAGCAGCTGTAGCGACATGCCCCCTTGCCTGAGGCATCTAAAGACGTAGAGGGTGGTTTGATGATGAGGCAGAGCAAAAACACACCGCCGATCACACGGCCGTAATCATCAAAGACACCTATCACCAACGAGAGAACGCGCTTCCCTCCTCCCTCCTCCCTCCCCCCTCCTCCCCCTCCCTCCTCCTCCCTCCTCCCCCTCCTCCTCCTCCTCCTCCTCCTCCTCCTCCTCCTCATCTAAGGTTGCGTGCGGCCTCGTGCTCGTTCGCCAGTTCTGCTTCCAGAGCGTCCAAGGCGGCCCCAGAGGCCATCGAGAGCCCCGCAAACCTTTTGAACATACAGCCCAAGAAAGGCCCAGGAGAGTTCCAGTTCGGCCCGAGAAGTTCAGAATTCTGGACGCTTCGCGTACCCCCACCAGCCCGTCCAGGAACGACGCCCAGGCGCGTTGAGGTGATCAGGGAAGTGCGGGAAGCCCTCTTGGGCGATGGGCCCATAAGATGGTTCCAAGAGGGCCCTAAGAGGCCCCCAAGAGGGGCCCAAGAGGGGCCCAAGAGGGACCCAAGAGGGGCCCAAGAGGCCCCAAAGACGTTACTAAGACATTTGAAGAACAAACGGTTAGCCGAGCAAGAGGTTGAGCAGGGCCGTTTGGTCTCCATCGACGCAGAGTCCTTTGAACTCTTCCCCGCAGGCATTTTCGGCTCGAACGTTGGGTAGCGGCGTGCCGCCGCGAGCCCTCTGGCACCGAGTGCACTCTTTACCGAGTATGCCGCCTTTTCATGCTGCGGCTGCCCAAGCGGACGCTGCGGTGGTCCAGGTCACATCGCAGATGATGACGCCTAGCCGCGTGGAGGTTAAAGGGCCCTCGGCCGTTTCTGCTCATCAGTGGGTGTACAAGATCCGCCAGATGTCGGTGGGGAACCGCGCGATCGCGCTGCTCAAGATGCTCCACCGGAACCCAATGCTCGCTGCCCTGGTCATTGAGTATGAGCGCAAGTTTGACAAGAAGGCGAACAAGAGGGAGTACAAGAAGCGCGTAGAGCTTGTCAGGGTCCGTGCCAAGGCCAAGGCAAAGGCGCAGCCTGCGCCGCCCGCTGGAGACAACTCCGACGTGTCCGACAGCGATGAGTCTGACTCTTACTAGGCTTTGGTGCGTCCGTCCACGCTGCCACCTAAGTCATGTGTATAGCTGGTGGCCCTGCCCCTTGGAATGACCAGAAAGCTCGGCGATATCTCGCGAGCTTGCGCGCGCTCCCTGCAGCTGCCCTGTCATTGCCAATGGTTTTGGACGTAGTAGTTGGTGCGATGCGAGAAAATCACACGGCCGACATCGTCAACATCACAAGCGAGGGAAGGAAAACCGCGCAACCAATTGCCAGCGCGAGAAAGGAACCAACAACAAAACACAACAAGCAGCCAATACATATAATACGTGGCAACCTAGATTTGGGCATCTCCTGGGACTCCCCTGGGGCTCGAACCCTAAGGACTTACGGCTATTCCTTTAGATTCGGCCGGGCTCGAATCCTACAGGTTTTACGATCATGTCCTTTAGATTGGGCTTCCTGGGGCTCGAATCCTAGCCCCGCGATCCATTTGAGGCATGTGGATGTTGCCAACAAAGGGGTTCGGCAGGAACGGGTCTCGCTATCATTCCGAACGCTCTGGGTTCTGCAACCACGTTTGCTCAATTACATTGCTCTTCGCATTAGTGTGAGTCACGACGCCTCGCCTGTGCATCGCATGGGCGATCTTGGGGCACCGCCCCTTTCAGAATTTGATGTTCTCTCGGTGGTGCTTCACGAGTTCGGAGCGAAGCAGTTGCTCCGACATCTCTGCACATGCGAGGTTCGCCTTGTCTACGACGGCGAGATCACAGGCCCTCTGCGCTTGGCCCTCGTGGACGGTGGCCAGCTCGTTCTGGCTCACCTGGACGACGCCGATGCCCCAGTGAAACCAGTGGCTGAAATCTTATCGATGCGATTGCAGGGCAGTAATGGTATTCCCGAGTCAGTGCTCATCGGCACTTCATCAGTTCCACTCGCAGATTTGGAAGGTAAGTTGGAAGCAAAGGTGATCGCACTAAGAGGTTCTGCTACAACGCTCCACTTCGAGGTGTACATGCATGCGCTACCGAAGCACATAACCACCGTCGACACCGATGGTGATGAGACTGTATCGGATTGGTTTGTCCTGCCGTCCTTGGTCACTTACTTGTTTGGCAGCAACACAAACAACTTCATTGCCAACCACCTCGCGAACTGGCGCAACTTGGTGGCACCTTTGGGCTTCGCACCTGACCACATCAGGCATTCATCCAAGTCGCTACGGGCAATCCATAAGGCAGCGGCTGCGGCAGGTCGTGGCGCCACTTGGCCTTCACAGTCGGGTGTTTTCAGCAACGAGGCTGAGTTCACTATATCACCGAGTGGGCTGCTGGCTCTGATGGGCGCAATGTCAAAGGATACCAAGGCTGCTCCGAAGGGGATGCACATGACTGGCGGCGTGCGGCACCCATCTTTATTGTTAGAGATGGTGCTGCGCCGTTTTCTATGCGATGGTCCCGTTTTATTCGACTTGTCAGCATCTGCAGGGCGTTGTCTGATTGTGATCGAAGATGGCATGGTCGACATGCGCGAGTTCCATAGCTCTCAGTCCAGCCAAGGCGTGCAAAAGCAGGCACTCTTGCTGAAGCGCATCAGCGAGGCGACCATCCCAGCCGCTGACTTTTTCAAGTTTCTTCTTGCTGAGGGTACGCGCAGTGGGCGGTCACCGCGGTGGCGGGAGAGGCACGCAGCTACATTCAAGATGTTCTGCCTTGAGTTCGGCAAGTTCGTCGAGTGTTCGAAGGGTCACGAGATGTGGGGTGAGCGGGGCCACATCGACTTAGGTGTACTGCGTGGTCGTAAGCGGGCTCGTCGAGTGCCTGGACCGTACAAGAGGGCGATCGTTGTGAGAGCACGGACATCCAATAGAGTTCGACGCCCGTCGCAGGTGATGGACGGGCTCTGCGTGAAACGCGACCGAGAGGGATTGACCTGTGTGCCCGCAAGTTCCGGGAGGAGTTTCGGGATGTTCGAGATATACCAGTACTGGCTTGCTGGAAGGTCTGGGGTCTGAAAATCGCCACACTCGCGCAGTTAGCTACTTTGGCCAGTGGCTTGCAAGGTGCGAATTTGCTGAGAATTTCCTTGCGCACCCCCCTGCCTCCCCAATACTGCCTGTGTATTGGAGGGGGGGCAGAGGGGGGGGGGTGCGCAAGCAATCCCACCAGCCCTTTAGGGCGTAGGTGGTCTAGGGAGTTTCCTCTGCCAACCCCCTTCTTTCCCTTTGGGGAGTGGTTTGCCCCTCCCCTTACCCTTCCCCACTGACCTGGACGGGGCCGGTCGCGAGGTGTCAGAGCGTCCAAGATGGCCCAAGACAGCTCCAAGAGCGAACGGGCGAGAAAACACAAACATTGATTTTACCTAGGTTTTGGAAGGATTTTGGCATCTTGGGGAGGCCCAAGAGGCGACTCGAGGCACTCTGGAGGGGCGGGGCTAATAAGCACCCCCCCCTTCTTTGATAGATCTCCTCCAAGATGGCCCAAAGAGCGCCCCCAAGGCTCCCAAGAGCGCCCCAAGAGCGCCCCAACAGGGCCCCAAGAGACCCCAAGAGGCCCCCAAGAAGCCTCCAAGACGTTGCCAAGAGACCCCCAAGAGGCCCCAAGAGAGTCCAAGATGGCCCAAGACGGCTCCAAGAGCGAAAAGGCGAGAAAACAGAAAACATTGATTTTATTGAGGTTTTGGAAGGATTTTGGCCTCTTGGGGGGCCCAAGAGGCGACTCGAGGCACTCTAGAGGGGCAACGCTAATTGGGGACCCCCTCTTCTCTGATCGATCTTCTGCAATATGGCCCCACGAGCGCCCCGAAGGCTCCCAAGAGCGCCCCAAGAGCGCCCCGAGAGCGCCCCAAGAGGCCCCAAGAGGCGCCCAAGAGGCCTCCAAAAGGCTCCCAAGAGACCCCCAAGAGGCCCAGGAGGCTCCCAAGACGGGTCCAAGAGCGAAAAGGCGAGAAAACAAAAACATGATTTTACCTAGGTTTTGGAAGGATTTTGGCCTCTGGGGGGGGCCCAAGAGGCGACTCGAGGCACTCTAGAGGGGCAGCGCTAATTGGGGACCCCCCCTTCTTTGATAGATCTCCTCCAAGATGGCCCCAAGAGCGCCTCGAAGGCTCCCAAGAGCGCCCCAAGAGCGCCCCAAGAGGGCCCCAAGAGGCCCCAAGAGGCCCCCAAGAGGCCGAAGGCTCCCAAGAGCGCCCCAAGAGCGCCCCAAGAGGGCCCCAATAGGCCCCAAGAGGCCCCCAAGAGGCCTCCAAGAGGCCCCCAAGAGACCCCCAAGAGGCCACAAGAGGCTCCCCGAGATACGCAAGAGGCCCCCGGGACCGCCAAGAGGCCCCAAGGACGGCCCAAGAGGCCCCAAAGCTCGCAATTGTCCTCCTCCTCCTCCTCTCACCTCTTTTTTCTTCCTCCTCGCCCTCCTCCCCCTCCCCCTCCTCCCCCATCCCCCTCCCCCTCCTCCTCCTCCTCCTCCTCCTCCTCCTTCTCCTTTTCCTCCTTCTCGTCCTCCTCGTCCTCGCAGTCCTCCATCTCCTCCTCCTTCTATTCCTCCTCCTCCTCCTCCTGCTCCTCCTCCTGCTCCTCCTCTTCCTCCTC